GAACCAAAGTCGACAGCTCGCCGCGCAGGCAGGGTATGTGATGGGGAAGTTGGACAAAACCCTCATTTCGAAAATTCACTATTTAATTCAGACAGCACTAAACTATGGTTTTATTGGTGGATCGGGTGTTGGGAAGTCGGCGGTGATAAATGCGATGAGAGGAATGTCTATCAAACATCCGCTCGCTGCTGGAAAGGTGAGCTACGGATTTCGGAAGTTCCGAGGCAGCTGCTCAAACAGCAAACCAGGCATCTGTTACGTAATCAAGGGCCTCTCATAGGGCCAATGTACTCTCGTCAGTAAAAAGTGCTTCCTGTGATTCCTGAATTTCACGATCGCTCCACCTAGAAATGAAAGATAATGCTGTCATTCAGTGATTGTGGACAAAATTATGAACACAACTGAACATTGTGAACGTAGAACAGTCGAGTAGATTTGTCGGTAAGCATAGTGCCCTTGCGGTGCCGAGAAAATGCGGTAGATTTTGCGCGTGAACAAATGGCTACGCCTGTACTGGCGGTGATTTGCGCGCAAAATGCTTGTTTTATATTGCATTTTCTGGCGATATAGCACTATATTGTAATATTCACTTTTGTTAAACCAAGAATAAACGTCAACATAATCAAACTTAAAAACCGACAATCGACTGTAGGGGTCCAAAAACGTCCAGACTATTTCAACTCTTCTGAGTTATAGAAACGTGCAAAACGCGGCCAGTGCGAACGTTTTGAGTTTGATGATGAAATTCTCAAATATGGCGTAACCCTGTGGGAACTGCATTACCCAAAGAAGATCAGCGCCTACTTTGAATTTATCGAGTAAGTTGTCTTACAATTAGTAAAGCTAGTGAACCGATGTTCTTGTTTAGCCGTCACAGAGTGGCCAGTTTCACCGCTCTCTTCGTCCTCATCGAAGGCACACCGTCGGACGAAGATCTCTCATTCTCGAAGATTGCGTATCGCAGAAACGCTTCGATAGTGTTCTTATCGTCCAAAAGCGATCGTAAGCTAGACGCTCGAAGTCGCAGTGATGAAATCCCTGTGTGCGACCTTCTGAAGCAGCGTTTCGTCGACAAAGGTTGGTGCAGCTAGATTACCGCCGGAGGGAAATGGCTGTCCAAGTGAGCTAAGCGGCTGTGAAAGCGGCGCGAGGATTCTATTATTATTATTAT